TCCTGATATGCTCTTAAAAAATGCAAAGAGCTCATTTTGTGCCCAGTCCAGACGGAGTCCACTCCTCCATCTCTCCTCAACATTGCTATTATCATCGGCGTAATGAGAGCGGAGAGTGCTGATCCCACCGAGATCGGCAACGTCGATTTAATGGGTGCTCCCTCAATTTTGACCTTGTGTGGTTGACATAACGTAGGTCTATTCTGCATTCATTTTGAGTTTTGGTTCTCGTTGCGTTTTTGCAATTGATTTCCACCACTTTGCATTAACTAAACTACCAAGTTGGGACAATCAGTACGGCTTCCACACTGAATAATCATGCCTCATTTTATTTCTAGTATCTTCAGTCTCTTATGGAGCCAAATGGAGCTTAAAAATTGTCAAAAGTAAGGCAACTTTCGGTGGTGCCTCACGTGATAAGTCTTGTTTTTCTCTAGTTGGACACTGAGGTGTGTATGTGTAGGTTTGCCATGGACTGAACCGAAATTGTGCAAATACCCCTTCTGTTCCTTAGTCACCGCTGAGATATAGTTGTCAGTGTCCCATGAAATGCATTGCAGCGACGCAAAAATAATTAAAACCGTTCTGATATGCATTGACTGAATAACTTGGTCTTGTTGGAACCTTTTAATTAACTTGTTGCTCTATTCTTCAGCCGCTTCTGAGGCGAAGATAGTCGTTTGTTTCACCGTGACGATGGCAAACGTTATGAGGACCGAGAGGGGATGTGAAGGAAGAGAAAGGAGAGACAGAAGTCGAACTGAGCTCCCAACATCAAAGGAGGAGGGAACGGTTTTCAAAACGCCGTGCTTCTGTGTAAAGAGGCCTAGTCAAATGTCTTTTTTCCCTTTGCTTGTAAATGGACCAGTATGTGTGATATGTCTGTGCATTTGCAAATCAGAATTTCTCCACCCAAGCCTTTGTTTCTTGTCTGTTGATGGGGAAGGAAAATGAGCTGAGATGTAACTGTTGGCTGGGTCATGAAAAAAAAATAGTCTTTGGTTTTCTTTTCATTAATGGGGTGATTGGTAATAGGTGCCAATCAGACATCTAGGTAGTCGGTTTTGGCGGCTTTTCTCTCTCGCCTCAGAAGCATAGGCGTACATTCACCGGATACAGCAATTACTCTCTCTGGAAAGAGCCAGATATGTTGACATCCTATGTAAACCACTGATTTGAGCCACCGATAGTGTACCTACCTTCTGTGAGTAAAGTTGGGCGCTTTGGTTTCGTTGCTATGCCAAGGTCGATTCCAGCCACCTGCTTAC